GAAATGACAACCTTACGCCGAATCTTTGCTCCATGTCTTTAGGATAAAGTTCAATAACTTCTAAACAGCCGTTCGAATTCCATTCGCATTCCTTGCGGACAGCCTCATAAGCAAAATTAATCCTTTTTAATCCATGTTAATTTTTTATGCTGCAGCGCCAAGCTTGTTCAATTTATATTTGGAAGAAGGGGAAGGGAAGGGCTTGCCCTTCGATTGGTAAACAGCCTAGTAAAAGTGTACTAAATGGTTAAACAAAGCCTGGTTTTCCATTAGTGGGGATCACGACTTCTCCAAAAAGAATCAGCTCTTGCAAATTTTTGGACTGGAGCATACATGTGTTGAAAAGAACTGAGGGTAATCTTTATTTTCCAAAAACAGACAGGGGAGGTAGAAAAAGTCAAACAACTTTCTAGACGCGTCTCTTTTTGTAGCCTTGTGATGGTGGCACTTGATAGGTGGCACCAGTAGGCTTGTTGTCTCCTCTCTGTGGGCAGTTGCAGTACTTGGCATCCTCTCCAACACCTCCAGGATTTCCGATAGGTCCAGGCATTCCGGGGAAAGCATCGTGTCCGGGGTTTCCAGGTAGTCCTTTTGGTCCAGGTTGTCCAGGAGATCCATCTTGTCCATTATCACCAGCTTTTCCAGGCAGTCCAGGCTCTCCAGTCCATCCGGGTGCTCCAGGTTGTCCGGGTGCTCCGGGGAATGAGGTGGTTCCAGGCATTCCATCGGGTCCAGGCATTCCATCGAATCCGGGTGGTCCAGGTGGTCCTTGATCTCCAGGCTCTCCTTCGGGTCCGGGAATACCGTCATCTCCACATGGGCCGGGTTTACCATGCGATCCTGGGAATCCTGGTTCTCCTGGGGCTCCGTCGCTTCCGGGTTCTCCTGGTGGTCCGGCTGGGCAGCTGATGCAACCTGAAAGGCAAAATTATTAGAAACAATTTTTTCCACTTAAATCTAACTTGAGACATATGCTTTTGTCTGAACAGTATCGCTGTGATTATCTAATGTAGAATACGGTATTTGGCTGATGCTTGAAAGTGGCGCAAGAGGTCACAAAAGATTAGAAAATTTTTCTATGTGGAAATACTGGAAAACTTTGCTCCATAATTGGCTCAATTGTCCTCGGCTACTGTAGGATTACGGTATTGCAAAC